TCCATAAGAGAATACTTCATGAATGGAGACTCGGCGAGGAGGAGAGCAGACTTCCCAACACTCCTCCACTCTAGGGACTCTATTCTCCAGCCACCTTCGCTTTCTTTTCTAACTTTGTACACTACTTCTCTCAGGCTGGAATGAATGCCCTACCCAATCTTACTCAACTCCATGTAGGGTCTTCTCCTCTGTGCTCCACTCACACTGTGCACATAGTTCTAATAGAAACCTTATAAAACTGCATTATAATCATCTGTGGTCACTTGAAGACAAGATCATAAAAATCATAAAATCATAATCACCACCTCTATACTATCTCTATACCTTAAAAATCTATTATAATTGTCATTTGTATTTGTCATTCCTACAATAGAGTAAGTTTCTAGATAGTAAGGACTGTGGCTTATTTATCTCTATATATACAACTTTTAGGGGCTGACGTGGGTTCCCCTCCACCACTCAAAGTTCGTATGTCAAAGCTCTAATCCCTAGTACCTTAGAATGTGACTGTATTTAAAGCAGACCCTTTAGGGGCATCTGGGTGGCTCAGTCGGTTAAGTGTGCTGATTTCTGCTCAGGTCATGATCTCACTGTGTGTGAGATTGAACCCCACTTCGGGCTCTGCACTGACAGGCCCTGTCCCACCTGTGCTCACTCGCTCACTCTCTCTCTCTCCCTCTCTCTCTTTCTCAAAATAAGTAAAAAAAAAAAAAAACTTAAAAAATAAAACAAAGTAGAACCTTTAAAGAGGTAATTAAGATAAAATAAGGTTGTATGGATACGTTCTAATCTGATCTGTGTCCTTACAAGAAGGGGAAATTTGGACAAAGAGATACCAGGGGTGCACGCACACAGAGAAAAGACCACCTGAGGACGCAGAAAGAAGGTAGCTATCTGCAAGCCAAAGAGAAAAGCATCAAGAGAAACCAAACCTGCTAACACGTTCATTTTGGACTTCTAGCTTCCAGAACTGTAAGAAAATTAATCTCTGTGTTTTAAGCCACTTTTAGTCTGTAGCATTTTGTTATGGAAGCTCTAGCAAACTAAAACCATAACACAGAGCATAATGTATCTGCCACACAGTAATTATTCAACATTTATTATGTCTGAGTATCTCTACCGCAAGAGCAAGGATTGTCACAGTCGTCTTTGTATTCTATGCACACAGCTCAGTAACTAGTACATGGTACTCATAAATACTAATAAAGAATACGGATGAGTATGGCTAAAACAGAGCCCACAGAGGGATCCAAAAGCTGGAGTGAAGCTGTGAGCTTTTATTCCTAAGCAACTAGTACAAAATGGAAGATTTTGAGAAGACTCAAGACTAGGGCTGAAATTTCGGCAAAATTAGCTAAATGACAGAATGTATGTGAATGCAACTGAGGGCTAGAAAAGAGACACGACACAGAATGGGGAAGAGTTAAACATATGTATCACATATCTGTAAGATAATAATTAGGGTCAAATATCTGATACTAGTTACATTTAGCACAAGTTGAAATTCTTTTGGCTAACATATTTAATTTCTGTCCACATCATCCTCAAGGGAGAGAATCTGGGTAAACACTTAGGCAACATGTATAGCCTTCAGAATACTGGCTTTTGTCTTCTATGTATATGCTAGTTTTTTGTTTTCCCAAATGGCCAAGGGTTCTACAAAACAGAACACTGTAAGCTTTCAAATACTCATGGGAGCTTGTAAAAGTAATACAACATTCATGTAATTTCCACTTGCTACACAACAGACCCTGAGGTTGTTTTCCTAATACATAACAAGTGGTTCTGCTGCTAAGAAAAAACCAGGCCTCTTAACGTAAAGATATGAAATAACTTGAACAGAGCCAAAATGATGTTTTTGAATTATATCAGACTTTTTTGCATCTAAAACAGTGAAGAAACAAAGTTACAAGTGTACCATGTCAACTCTGTGAGATACAGTCATGTTGTTTGATTATACAACTGCATTGGATAGGAAAAGGTTATTATGCACCAGAAACCATTGCTTCTTTCTTAAAAGTAGTGTTATTTCAATGTGCTTATAATTAAATAACATGTGGGGGAAAATCTGGATTAAACTTCTAAACTGGCTTTTTCTAACCATTCAAATATTTATTTTTTACAATCAGTCCCTAAATTTTTTTCTAAAATAGATTAAATTTTCAGTGTGGTTCAGGGAATATAATATGCAGCAATTGGTACCCACTAAGCACCTAATTATAAAAAATTAAAGCACAATTTCAATAATAATAATGATAATAATAAAAATACGACTACTAACTTCTATGGAACACTTACCATGTCTCTGGCACTATGCTAAGGGCTTAAGGTATTTAGGCTGAACCATATGAAAATCATGGTTTTTAAGGTTTAACCTAATACATTTTCTCATTTAACCCTTACAATGACCCCCATGAGAAGAATACCATAATTATCCCTATTCTGCATAATTTATCCCTCTAAATTTAGAGGACTAAACTCGATTGTGTTAATGAACTAGGAAACTGCAGAATGGGGACCAACACTTAAGTATAAATCCAAAGTCTAAGCTCTTATTTACTACAGTTTCAGCAACCTCTGTGTCTTGAAAACTAAAACACAGTGTAGGCACTCAGTACTCTCATACTTTGCTCAATGCCACTATAGACACTTGTGCAGACTGGAACCTCACCAAGGGCTCCAGCAAGGAAATCAAATGAAGCTGACATCCAGCCCATTCCTCTCACCACCCAAACTGTGATCCTGTTGCAGGATGCCATCTACACAGAAGAATGAGATTCTCTCGTTCACATAAAATTGTTATACTGGCTAACAGTGACCCTGATGCTGCTGGTAAAAGAAAAAAAAATTGTGAGAAGAATTTAACAATACAGATTAAAAGGCTTAAAAGAGATATATACATCCCTTGATTCAGAAATTTCACTTTAAGAAATTCATTCTAAGGAAATAGCTAAGGATGTACATAAAATTTATGCTACAAAGACAGTCATCAGTGTTATAATAGAGGAAAAAACTAAAAAATCTAATATGTCCATCAATAGGGTATTGGCTATTACAGTACATCTAGGTGATTAAAATAATGTCTTAGAAATATATTAGCTCATAAGCTTTTCACAAAATACTGCATGAATGACAAAGTTTATAAAAATTATGTTCTTATTTTAATAAAGATATGCACGTAAGTATTCCATATACAATACATCTGTGTAAGAGAAAGAAAGAACACAAGATAATGGAATTAAAGGTTACTTTAATAATCTGTTTTTAATCTTTAGAAATTTTTCTATACAACATATATAAAAAAAAGTCAAAATGAAGCAAAAGAAACAAAAACTAATGAGGCAAATGTCCTAATACAAAGCTTAAGAACTGATACCAGGTGCAGCTATGTAAAATTTCATTCTGCCTCTTAACTTGGTATTAGGACATGTGATTTACTGTGCTCTAAATTTAGATAAGAAATACTTAATTTCATTTGAAAACGACAAATACAGGTTCTAACATGTAGCCTAAGAACTACTGCCCATAAATACAGAAACAAAGCAGAAACTGTATACTAAATACTTTAGATGACTGAAACTTACATACATTCGTAAGAAATAAAAAAACATCTTTGATGTGTATCACCTGTTGAAGAACAGAATTCTCAATAGGTTGAAAAAGAGAATAACGGCCCCTGCCAGCTGGAAATTGGACTGGCGCTATCAGCTAGGCCTTGGTGTACTCATATTAAATATAAACAATTTTATAGAACACAACCTCAGAAAAGGCCACTCTGTGACCATGACGAATCAAGATAAAGCAAGAGCACCTCAAAATCATATGTAAACATAGACAAAAGCATGAACATTGTCCAAGCCACAAAAATAACTTAGTATAATCCTATCTTGGAGATTATGAGTGACCACTGCTTCTTTACCCATCACAGTTTTGGCCTTCCTCCATTCTTCTTGTCTTCCAGGTTCTTAAAATACCTAATCACAAAATTACCCCCACTTCCCAATAGCATCCAATCTACTGTAAAGTCATACTTAAATCCTCTCCAAAATTCTTAACACAAGCTCAAATCCTATATTGTTCTACATTATACATATTCTTCCTTGTTACAAGGAATCAGTAAATCCATCTTGTTTAACTACAGATATGTTCCTGGCGGTCCTCCCTGAAGGGCACTCAAAGAGCTGGGACTACAGATTTCAGTACAGGGTGGAATTAGGAACAAAACAATAAATTTACATTAAAAATACCCACAATCCATAGAATACATACTGTCTACCTAAAGGGGTCTTTTACTATGTAAACATATCCTATAATGAGTTCTCACCAATTTAGAATTCCCAGTGTTTATCAGCAATGGTGGTGTTGACTAAATAAACAAACTTTGGAAGGAAAAATAAGATTAAAACAGAGAGGGAAGCAAACCATAAGAGACTCTTAAATACAGAGAACAAACTGAGGGCTACTGGAGGGAGGTGAGTGGGGGTATGGGCTAGATGGGTGAAGGGCATTAAGGAAGGTACTTGTTAGGATGAGCACTGGGTGTTCTATGTAAGTGATGAATCACTGGGTTCTACTTCTGAAACCAATACTACACTGTATGTTAACTAACTTGAATTTAAATAAATAAATATCTTTATAAATCTAAGCAGATCTCTTAAAAAAGTGTTTATATCAAATTCTCAATTACCCAGTTTTCCACCCTACCTGAACAAAGCAAGAATCTAAGTACAAAAGGTAAAAAGTAAATGAAGAAACTAAACCCTGAACAGAATACTTAAAATAATAAAATCCTCTAATTTAAATCCATTACTTAATTTAATAAATTAATTTAGTAATGAAATTTAAGTATATTATGCGTTCCTCTTCAAAAAGTTTCTAAGTACAATAATATGTCATTAAAACCAACTTATCTATCTGAGACATCGGCATACTTTGGTATTTAAACTTTCAAATATCTTCTCATTGATCACCAAAGTGAACTTTGCCCACTGCATGCTTACCTCCTGGGTCCTTATCTGGATTGTACTCTAAAGCATTGCTACAGATGAGGTCAATATCTTTCAGAAAATCCTTAGCAGTCAGGTAATTATGCTTATCAATTTTAGTTATTACTGTCGATAAATCCATTGGTTCCTTGATTACTTCAAGATAATCTGAAACCTAAAACAAACAGGATATTTTAATGAAAATTACTTCTGCTATTTCACACGATCTACTCATAACAACACAAAATAAAACCATAAAATTATTTAAAAATTCAATCTAAAGATCTAAAAAATAATTACAAATAAGGATAAAATTGTAGAGCAATTTGCGCTACTAAAGTTACTACTTTGAAGTCATACTTTCCATGAAAAGCTTCAGTGTCAAGTCATATCTAAATCAACTCTGAAATGTTTCTCATCTTGAAATATAAAGCCAATTTGTGTCAGCTGTTTTTGCCCCCAGGCCTTTGTACATACCTGAGAAGAGAATGTATGGGTAAAAGCACCCAATAAGTATCAATGCATGTTACTTCAAGAAATTTTTTTAAAGGAAATTAAGAAACATAGATTTTTCATATTATTTATTAGAAAAGTTCTCTGGTAAATCTATTTAAAATCTTTAAACAAAACAAAACAAAACACAGCCCCCCCCCACCACCAAAAAAAAAAAAAAAACCACTTTCTTTCTCAATTTTCCAGGGTGAATTGTTTCATGGAAAGTGTTTTCTGCTCCTTTGGAGTCATTACAAACATTTTGAGTCAATTATATAACAAAAATAAGTATTGCTTTCATGACTAGAAGATTTACTTGAACTTCCCTAATCATAAATAAATTCATAAGTAAATGTGCTCTATTGTGCTGATTTTCGGAGAGATAACTCAAAATAGGAGCTTAATTAAGTCACAATTTGCCCAATGTTTTATATCATTTGACCACTAAGAAATCTCTTACCAACCTATCTCTACTGCCTCCCCCAATGCAAATCTCAAATCAAGCAATCAGGTCTGATATAAAAACAGTCTTAGAAACATCTACTTACTCCAGAATCAAATTCTGGAGCTAGGATAATTTCCACTCTTTGAAACTAAAGGCTACTTTTTCTCCATTGCAAATACACACATACACACACAAACACACACATACACTCTCTCACACACACACACGCACACATATATACATATTTTATACACGTTTTAAAATGTTTAGGTTAACTGTGTGTGCATGTTTTATTGTTGAACTTCTAGGAGTCAAAAAGCCAGTCAATCTCCTTATAGGGGAGGTAATGAACCTATAATGAACAAGCAATAGTTCAGAAGGTATTATTAGTTGGATTCTTGGCCCTGGCACTGGCATGCCTTGAGTACATGTGGAAAATGTCTATTAACTGCAAAGCACTACAAAAATTTATACTAGTAAAGATTATAAAATTTTTGTTGTAATATTTAATTTTAAATTCTACATTTATTTTCTAAACTTTTCTTTCTCTGAAGTCTGCATTGGAATTCCATAGTTTTTAAACATTTCAAATTCATTATTTGAATATAAATGTTTATGTTTTAGGTTATTTAAATGTTATCTTGTTTTCCCCTCGTGTTTCACACAGACCTCTATCTTTTCAGCTTTAAGAAAACAGAACCAGTAGCAGAATGAACATAACAAAGAATAAAAGAGAAAATAAGAAACATAACCCTTGAATAAAAGTTTTATCTGACCCAGATTTTTCTATCTCTTTCCACTGCCTTACCATCATTTATAAAACTTTTACTCTATCACACATGGTATTTGAAATCTGACCATCTCTTCTGGTTAGAAAGACAGTTCTCTGGAGGAAAGGCAAAACTGGTTTAGTGCAGGAGGTTGACTTGAGATCAAGCCCTTATCAAATAAGTGTCAGAGGCCCATACCCAATTTGAAATAAAAATAAACATCTAAAATAATCCTTAAAGTTGGGCTAGAAGTTTTAACTTATCTGAAAACACTAAGAGGTGAAGAAAAATGTTCCACAAATGTAAAATGGTATGTACTAATTGCAAAAGCAAATTAGCAATTCCTGTCATTTCGATAGAAAATTTAAGGTAGCTATGATATAAAATAAAGAATGCAGGCTTTGAATTTCAAAAAAACCTCCGAGTCTTGGCTATGTCGCTTGCCTGTGAGCCTCAGTTTCCTCAGCTGCAACTTAAAAATAATGATTCTGTGAGGTTGTTAAAAGGATCAAATGGATAAAACTATGTATTTTGGATAAATATACAAATAAAATACAGATAGTTCCTCTACTGCCCCAAAGAAGGAAAATAGCTATTTTCAGAGGGGAAAAACAACACTGGTTCATTCTTCCCAGTCATAGATGAGGTAATGATTCCAAAGGAATCTGCTCAGGTCCAAAAGTACAGATTTCACAAGAAGTACACAACATTAAACTATGAATCATTGCAAAATTCAAATTAATAAAAAGATGAAGAAAAAACTTAAAACTAAAAACACCAAAGCTGTTCAAACATGGAGTCTGAACTATAAGAAGGCGGCCAGTAAAGACTGCATCGTGCTCATCCACATGCTATATTATCCCAGGATAAAACAAAACAAAAAAACAACAAATTTTAACTATGGTATTATAGTAGATTCCAAATGGAAAATTTCTTATCACCACAAACCATGCTCCCACAAGGACACAAAACAATACACATTGAAAGTGAGAAATTTTCCACTGGGAGCAGAGAAAATCCTTGCAGAAAAAAATAATTTTGGCATAAGATATGCTTAACATCAAACAGCATCTTAGTTACAGGCATTTCCAAAATATGAAAGACAAATTTCAGGTTTCTTAGCCACCTCTTTCACAATCGTATACATAATTTGGACAATGCCAAAATTAATTGGTATTGATTGGTTAATACCAATATACTTTTTAAGAGCAAGATTTATCCTGGAATAAAAATAGTCTAGTATGGACATTTCACTAAAGTAACTTTTAATCCTCTTCTTACATTGAAGAGTAAGAGATCACAAAGATCAATACTAAATAAGAGGACATACGAATTGGTCACTAATTTCATCCAAAAGTCACCAGACGTTTGCTGATGACATTGGTGGTTATCACATGGATTAAAATTTTACAGGCTAGGGGTAATATTCATCCATGCCTTTGCTTTTTTTCCTTCCAAAAAAAGATGTCAATATTTTTTTCTTTTAGCCAGTTCAACTTCACTGTTTGCACACTACTGAAACAAGACCTCTTCAATATCCACCGGTTTGCTGAAGATGTTAAAACGTTTATCCGTCGCCAGCCTCTTGGTTACATCCCTGAGAAACAACCGCAGCTCTCTTAAAGTATTTTCCTCCTGGTCCTCCATCCGGTTTTTTTCTGATTCTGATAACTGACGAGGTGGAGAAGGTAGTGCAAGAGGAAGCACTTCCATAGCACAAAGACCTAAAGAAAATAAAAGAAAATGTTAAGATTCCAACATGGCAGGGCCAGGACCTCAATTATGTTTCTAGCATTCTCTCAAAAAAGAACTCCAAAATATGTGTGAACCACTTGCAAATCCAGCCAGTAAAAATGTGAACAGAAACCAACAGTATATTAGAGAAGAGAATTATTTCACAAAATAACTCACAGTAGGACTCCTTTAAATGGCAAATGATATGATTTTAAATAATTTGATTTTGAAATATTATTTACATACAACTTATGAGAAATATTTCAACTCAACAAAAATATCTTCAGGTGAAGAACTGTATACCAATTTGCTTAAAATCAATGTTGCTTAAAAACCATCTTCTCAAAATGGGGTTGCCCGATATGCATGAAAGTGAAATGGGCAAGTAACAATTCTTTGATCCTTCCCACTCCCAAAAGAGCTTTGATTTTAGACAAGTCTTTTCTACTCTGATATTCTCAATACAACATAGTAGGGGTAGTGAATGGCACATACCTGTGTAGGGAGCAAAAAAAAATTAGGAACTAAAACAAGAATCCCAAAGACATGGATAAGATGGAAAATCCAGTCTACAGTGTTATATGTAAAATTTACAGTATTCATTTCCGCCTAAACAAACACAAAATCTTCTTAAAAAGTAAAGTATTAACTTTCCTAAACACATTATTCCCTAATTCCTTAAAAGTTTTTCCCAGTATCACACTGAACTTCAGGATTAAAATTCTAAGGATTCTCGCTGATTTCTAAATAGCCCCTAAGAAAAAAAATGAAAGTAAATAGAAGCAACTCAAAAAGAAAAAGAATTATGTTAATCCTTAACACAGAAAATTCAAATCTTTGAGACTAAAATGTATCTAAGAACAAGTAAGATACCTTATTAAAATGAATCATTACATAATAAAATATTTTAAGTACTGTTATTTTGATTAACAGGAAGCAACAACCAAGAATCAGAAGGTGTAACTTCCATATTTAATTTTCCAAGGTTGCTAGGGGGGGTAAACTCACAACTACAGCCATATGATAGGTGCTCATTTTTAGAACTCTGAGAAAAAATGTGGAAAGGAGTCACTAAAGAACAATAAAATAAAGTGTTGGATAATATAATCAGTAAAAAACAGAAGTAGAACAAATATGGAAAAGGAAGGACTTGGAAGGGGTGGAAATGTATTTAACATCCTACAAGAACCACAATGAGAAACATAAAAGAACAAGGGGAAAGATGCTTAAAAACTTCTAACAGGATTGTTATTTTCTAGAAGAAGCTGAGAGATTACAAAGAGGACCTTATCTTTACACATCTTTAAGATTAGAAACAGTCTTTTGATTGACCCAGAATGCATTCCTTTCTTAGGCCAGGGGGCTGAAATTTGAAATATTATGCTATTAGCCCAAATCCAAGAAAACTCTAATGCTTAAAACAAAGCCATGATAGGTTTCCAAGTGCCTCGCACAACTAACATTACAGGTGCTCAATAAATACTTGAAAAATTAGTAAGCCAGAAAAGGCAAACATTCCGATCAGCTCTTGACCTATCACACCTACTCTGACCCACAACGTAATCGGCACACGACCTGGTGTTCTCAATCTTACAGTTTAAGTCCCCTGTACTTGAACTGACTAAAACAGAGCAGAACCAAAGACTTTTTTTCTTCAACTTTTTAAGCCTCAGAATGTGAAATCTACCAGAGTAACTGAATTGAAATGATAAGGTGAATACTTCATTAATGGTCACCTGTTAATAAAGCCTTAACAATGAGGCTGTACTTCCCAATCTCAAGTCGGGTAAACACAACGACCACTTCCGCATAGGTCCATCTAAAGGTAAGGAGAATCTAAAAAACTGACTTTATTTCCACAAAGAAATGGTTTTTTTAAAAAGTGACTCCAAGAAGGGGCATTCTTAACTTCACTCCCCATCCTCCCTCTCCCCCATTTTCCTAAAGGCTTTAGGAACTTTACCAGTGTGTTTCCTTCGTGGTGGAGCCATTGATGCCTGATTGAGAATCAATTCTTGGAAAAATTTTCTTCTGTCTTCTTCAATAGGCCTTTGAATATACAAGACCTCTTCATACTGTATTCTAAAGATACATTTAACCTACACACATACACATACACACAAAGACATTAAATATATAAAGAATTAAAAGCTTACTTATTATACCAAACTACAATTTCTTCAACTTCCAGTACCATTTTCAATTTTCATTCATGTGGGATTAGGGTTAACCTCATCCCAGGCTATGCTGTTGAGAGATTCAACCTCATGGACTAAACAGTAATGAGAGAATGATCAGTTGCCCAAGTCGTTAATAAATTATACTATACCTGGGAGAGTCAGCAAATAGTAGCAAAAAGGATAATTGATCATAATAGTTAGATGGCAACAATCTCAAAGGACTTTTGTGTTAGAGCTAGACAGTAATTACCTAGAATCTACATCAGAGAGCTGAAAGCATGCTAACAGCACTGCCTTCTCTTATGTTCTTTCTGTGTACTTCCCATCCAGTCACTTCCTTTCCTGGGCTCTTTTCATACCAAGTCTATTCCACTGAATCCTCCAGAATCCTGGTTTCACTGCAAATAAACTATACCTTCAGTTTCTCCCCAGAATGCTCCACAATAACACCACCTTCCACACAAAACTCCCAAACAATATTAAGCCAGTCATTCTCACATACCTCACAGTTCCTTCCTACTGGTGATTACCTACCTCTCCTTTATTTACCTGCTGTATAGAGAGGCTTTGACCCCAGATGTCCCCCTTGCAATATAGGCTGTTGAAATCCTCCACATCATCCATATTAATCTACACACTTTAATTTTTATGTTTTTCTAGAAGGTCTATATTCTACTTCTAGACACCAAACTCCCTAAGAATAGAGACCATTTCTTACTCATCTGTCTTCCTATATGTACCACAGTGACTGGTACATACTAATGTTTAATTAGCATGGACATGGATTGAATGAGTAAAGCCTGTATTTTTTTTTTCCTCGCCCAGATCAACTGGAAACTGCAAATGGGAAAAGGTTATTAATAAGGAAAGAAGAACCAACTATGAGACAATGAGGAAACACTGGATGAAAATTCAAGGAATCAGATCCTAGCCCAAATTTAGCCACACATTTAAGGTAAACTACATAATCCATTTAATTTGTCATGTCTAACTACTTACTAAGAATTCCTAAATATTATTTCAATCGAACTTATAACAATGAGGTATGTAGGAGTCCTTCATTTTACAAATGAGAAAACTTAGACTTGGAAAGGTTTAAGTAACTGGATTAAGGTCACAAAGTATAAGTAAAGAGAGAACACTAGATCACATAATCTCTAAAGGCCTTTTCCAGCTCTAAAATTCTAAGACAGAAAAGACACAATCAATGAAAAGCAGAATTCAAAAATCTGCATAGAGAACTATCTACCTCAACCCAAAGCCAAATCCTTTTAAGAGTTTATAAAATTTCACCCTGTCTCCAATATTTTTTTTTTTTGTAGACTACTCTCATGTACAATTCCCCCAACCCATTGATCTATGCTTCGCTGGCCCTTCTTCAAAAGTTCTGGCAAGCAAATTTACCAGTGCACACCCACTGTGTGCTAAATATAATGTCAAATAGTGCAATTATAAACTTGAAGAAAATATAGTTACTTCCTGCTGTCAAGGATCTTAAAAGTTTCATAAGAAAGCATTATAGTACCACACCAGGAGTGTTGTAACACAGGCAGAGAAACAGAAGAGACTCTGCAAGAGTCTGCAAGAGGTAAGGGTGAAGAGGCATTAGATATAGCAAAAATAGCTAACATTAACTGGGTCTTGAAAAATAAACAAAATGCAATACCCTAGAAGTACCAGGATTTTGTTCAAGAGCAGCAAAACATTTAATTTCAGTTTTAAATATTCTTCCTTCTGATAATTGTTCAACATTGTGTTGAACTTTGTGAATACAAAAGCATACCAAGAGTAAATCTACAGTAATCCCCTGATACTCCTGCCAGGTTATTACCAACAGCTTAGAATCCATCACTTTATAAGTAGGCTACATTTTACTTTAAATTTGCCCCTAACTTTATCTTCTGACATTCCCAGCCTCAAATTACATGCTGCAACTGAACACACCTCAGATAATTCCCTGAAATCATGTGCTTTCACACTGGCTCACAGTGGCCTCTATATGTGCTATCAGCTCTTTCCAACCCTGTTTTTAACTCTCTGCTCAAGCCAATGCTTTCTGGGTAATTCTTTCTCTGATTTTCTCAGATACACTCAGGCATACTATCTAATACCCCTCCATCAAACTTAAAAAAAAAATTTTTTTTTAATGTTTTATGTATTTTTGAGAGAGAGACAGAGTGTGAGCAGGGGAGGGACACACACACACACACACACACACACACACACACACACACACACACAGAATCTGAAGCAGGCTCCAGACTCTGAACTGTGAGCACACAGCCTGACACAGGGCTCGAACTCACAAACCATGAGATCATGACCTGAGCCAAAGTTGGATGCTTAACTGACTCAGTCACCCAGGTGCCCCCATCAAACTTTAAAGTTCAATGATTTTTAGTAAATTAATTCAGTTGTGCAATCATCACAAGTCAGTCTTAAAATATTTCCATTACCTCCAAAAAGCTCCCTTGTGTCCATCTAGCCCCAATCTCCACATTCATACTCCCAGCCCAACAACCACTGATTTACTTCCAGTCTCCAGAGATTTACCTTTTCTAGAAACTGTGTATCAGACAATTGGTAGCCTTTCTGTCTAGCTTCTCTCAATATATCGAAGTGCACCTACATTGTAGAAAGTATCAGCGGTTCATTCCATTTAATGCTGAACAGTATTTCCCTGGATGTATATACAATATTTCATTTTACCAATCACCAGTTAATGAATACTTGAGTTGTTTCCACTATTATGAATAATGCTAGTAGGAACATTTGCATTCAAGTCTTTGTGTGAACATAATTCTCTTGTGTAGTTACCTAGAATGCCAAGTTATAGCCTAAGTTTATGACTAACATCTTCAGAACTGCCAGTTTTTTTCAAAAATGGCTACACCGCTTTATAATTCCACCAGCAATATATTAGGCCTCCAGTTTCTCTACATCCTTGTCAACACTCCATATTGTCTAGTGATCGTACATACAGTGGTATCCCATTCCTGAATAACTAATGATCTTAAGAATCTTTTCTTGGGGCGCCTGGGTGGCTCAGTCGGTTGAACATCTGACTTCAGCTCAGGTCATGATCTCATAGTCTGTGAGTTTGAGCCCCGTGTTGGGCTCTGTGCTGACAGCTCAGAACCTGGAACCTGCTTCAGATTCTGTGTCACCCTCTGTCTCTGCTCCTCCGCTGCTCACGCTGTGTCTCTCTTTCTCTCTCTCAAAAATAAACATTTGGAAAAAAAAAAAAAAAAAAAAAAAGGACCTCTTCTTGTGCTTTATTAGCCCAAGAGAATACATACTCTTTGGTGAAATGTGTATTTAAATCTTCAGCCCATTTTTAAATTGTAGTGTTCTTTTTTTAACTTAATTGTGGTAAAACAGAACATAAAATCTGCTATTTTTATCATTTTTAATTGTACAGCCTATAGTATTAAGTATATTCACAATGTTATGCAACCATTATTACCATCTATCTCCAGAACTTTTTCATCCTCCCCAAGTAAAATTCTGTATCCATTAAACACTAACTCCCCACGCTCTCCCTTTTCCCAGTCCCTGGCAATCACCATTCTACTTTCTATCTCTATAAATCTGATTATTCTAGGAACTTTTTTAAAAAAGGAATCATGGGGCACCTGGGTGGCTCAGCTGGTTAAGCATCTCTTGATTTTTGGCTCAGGTCATGTTCTCACTCACTGCTCATGAGATCGAACCCCATATAGGGCTCTGTGCTGATAGCATGGAGACTTCTTGGAATTCTCTCTCTCCCTCTCTCTCTCTGCCCCTCCCCTGCTTGACCTCTTTCTCCCTCTCTCTCTTTCAAAATAAATTAATGTTAAAATAAAAAAGGAATCATGTATTTGTCCTTTTGTGATTGGCCTATTTAACTTAGCATAATGCCTCAAAATTTCATTTATGCTGAAGCATGTATTAAAATTTCCTTCCTTTTCAAAGCTAAATAATGTTATATTGTATGTATATGCCACTTTTTCTTTATCCATTTGTCGAAGGACATTTGTGTGTTTCTACCTTTTGGCAATTGTGTCACGAACATGGGCATACAGATATCTGTTCAAATCCCTGCTTTCACTTCTTCTGGGTGTATACCAGAAGCAGAATTGCTGGATCATATGGTTATTCTGTTCAACATTTTTAAGGAATCACTGCACCATTTATTTCCAATGAGACTGCACAGCTTTATACTCAAGCGCTCCAATTTCTTCACATCTTGCCCAATATTAGTCATTTTTTGTTTTTATGATAACAGCCTTCCTAATGAGTATTAACTGACATCTCATTGTGGTTTTAATTTGCATTTCCCTAATGAGTAGTGATGTTCAGCATCTTTTCATGAGCTTCTTGGTCATTTGAATACCCTCATTGCGGGGAAGTATGGTTGGTTGGATTTTTTTTGTTCTTGAGTTGTAGGAGTTCTTTATATACTCTGGATATCAATCCCTTACCAGATATATGATTTGCAAATATTTTCTCCCATTCTGTGGGTTCCCTTTTCACTCTGATAGTGACCTTTGATGCAACAAGTTTTTAGTGTTGATGAAATCCAATATATCTATTTTTTCTTCTGTTGCCTGTACTTGTGGTATCATAGCCAAGAAACGGTTACAAAATCCAAAGTCATAAAGCTTTCCTATTATGTTTTCTTCTAAGGGTTTTACAGTTTTAAGTTTTCTGTTTAGTTCTTTGACCCATTCTGAGTTAACTTTTGCATATGGTAATAAGGGCCCAAATCATTTTTTTTTTAAGTTTTATTTATTTAAGTAATCTCTACACCCAACGTAAGGATCAAACTCACAGCCCCAAGATCAAGAGTCGCATGCTCTCCCAACTGAGCCAGCCAGTTCCCCACATCATTTCTTTTGCATGTGAAATTCCAGTTTTCCCAGCATCATTTATTGAAA